GAGATGTAATTTTTCATCGATAGGCAAGTTTTTTCATGAATTAAAACAGTTACATTCTAGAACAACATAAAATAAAAAGAATGTTACTGAATGAAATAATCATTAGACATTACTACATTAGCAGTAGTAATTTTCAAACAAACAATATTCTGGTCAAAGCCTAGAGTTATGATTGGTATTTAAAGTGTCAACTGTATTTAAAATAATGAATATCCAACAATTAAAATCCAATAAAACTAAAGTCGAGAGGATCAACATCACTGCCACTTCACCACACTGAGTTGTCTCCTACATGGCTCATTCTCTCTCCACAGAATGTCCAGCTGCCTGTCAAGAACACTGCACAAAGCACAAACTCTGTAGTTCCCGTGATGATCCCCAGGTTTTCCGTAAAAATTGCACTTTTGAAATGAATGATGCAGCTGTGAAACAAACCCACAACCTTCAGAGTATGAGGCAAATGGACTGACCACTTTGCCATGGAGAACTTCTATCAATGTTGAACATATTTATGGAGACTAGCAAATAAAGAATGCATAACTGAACACATTCAGGGTTTAAGACCAAAAGGACAACCATGAGGAAGGTGGAGAGCCAGTGTGACTAGATCTAAGACTAAATATCATGAATTTTAATTACTGTCGACAGAACAAATGGAACAGATAATGTGTGCAGTTAAGAAAGAGCTGACCACGATACAAAATATCTGAATAAGAAGAGCAGCATATAGCATTAGATCTGATACAGTTTTGAAATTAAAGAAAAACACATTAGAAGGTCTCATAAATAATTATACAATAGTAAACTTTACTAGAAAGGATACATAAACAACAGTATCTTGCAATGATAAATTTATCAATAATAGCATTGAACAAACATTGAAAAAAAAAAAAGATGATAAAAACAGCTTTGAAATCACTAATAAGGAAAATAATGATAAAGGTAGTGATTTGAAAAACAAAACCTATGCACAATGTGTATCAGGTTTTATAGGGTAGAGCACCCTTTAGCAAGATGAATGATTACACAAATTGAGTAAATACACAGACAAAATCTGTTTTTGAATTTAAAGAAAACGAAAATAATGTCTACAGATAAAACTGGCTGTCACCCAAAAATAACAATAAATGGTGAATAAATGGTGAAGAAATTGAAAATGTAACAAACTTTGAATATCTAGGCTCTATAATAAAAAGCAATGGAGACTGTTTGACAGAAATTAAAAAGGAGGATGGCTATAACAATGCAAAGATTAAACAGCCTAAAAAGTCTATGGTCAAGCACTAGCAAGGAGATTAAAATTTGAATTTTGAGAGCATGCATCTTCCCTGTAGCTACATACGGATGTGAGTCGTGGACTATCTCTCAGTCCTTAAGAAAGAGAATAGGGGCTTTTGAGCTGAAATCCTACAGAAAAATTATCAGAATATCTTGGACGACAAAGAGGAGAAATACTGACATCTTGAAAGATCTGAACATCAAGGAAGATTGGCTAATAAACAGCATCCTGTCTCGGAAGCTGAAATATTTTGGTGATATCAAGCACCACGACGGATTGGAACAAATTATAGCAGAAGGCATGGGGAGGGGAAGGAGGGGCAGGGGCCGACCAACACGAAGATGGGCACAGGATATAAGTGACTCCTTGAGTATGCAAGTGCATGAGGTGGGAGAGCTGGCGAGAGACTGAGTTTCAGGCAGACCGTGATGAGAGCGACGTTCTGCAAAGGACCTGCTACATGATGATGACACAGACCAAAAAATAATATTCCCTTGTGTATTCATATATAAATAAGAAAATTCAGTAGCCTGACATTTGATAAATTACTCAATGAAATTTCAGCGAGCAGGCATATTGGGGTGTGTAGCACACTTGCTTACCAACCATGTGGTAATATATTTGGATCCTCTTTAATGCTGGGATATTCTTAATTCTATGCGCTCCCAGTCAGATCCTGTCTAAAACTGGTGCCTAGAAATTTCTTGGAAACAAAAGGGCAAGATATAGATATAATCAACAATCAAGATTGTTTGGTTGGATAAGAAATGTAAGGTAGCACAGTATGCCAAAAATAAAAATAAAGAATTTCATTTTATTTCCCTTACTTGTGTGTAAAGAGCTATGTTAACACTACATAACTGCGAGCTGATGGCACAGTTGTCTCAATTCAGTTTTTAGCTTCCTCATTTGTGTTCCAGAGCCCCATTTTGAGGGAAAAAGGGTAGAAGAAAACAGAAGAAAAGTCCCCAAAAGAATTTTTATGACATTACAAATATGGTTGAGAGTTGCCCCAAGCTCACAAAATAAGTACTAGAACAGAGCATAAAACTTCTGATTTGAAAAAAAAGTTGCTAAAAATGGCACCAACAGTACAAGCGAGAAAAAAGTATATAAATTAGAAGGTACAGACCTTGCAATTATTCGACTTACCCAGATTTTTATCGTGAAATATTTCACAATTTGTTTGTGGCTCACAATTTAGTGTTATTTTTTTTAAGTAAATGTCACCCTGGAAGCATCGTATCTGATAATTTTCTTTGAAAGTGACACAGGACAACTCAGGCCAAAAAGGAAACTAGGTAAAGTGTTAGGAATCAAATACGGCTGATGTGATGCTGACTACATCACCAATCGAGAGCCAATTGTCTAGTATAATATGCCTGATACGCCACTGGCATAGAAATTGTCCTTTTTTGGTGTGTGTTTAAATAACCTTTGAAATAATACTTAAAGCTGGCAATTTATACTGAAGATATGTTTCATTTTCTATCCTAGGAACATTTGAAAAAAAAAATTATCTCAAATTAATGTGATTCTCTCATTATAATCTTTGTAGAGATAATAAATTCGTACCAGCTTCCGTTGGCCAGGACATTTCAAGGTGACCCAGAATGACCTTAATGGTGTGGTAGTGGCCCCTGGAACAAGGTCACACAATACTGCAGGAGTGACCAGAAAAGATAAAATCAGTGATAAGGTCCGGCAAAAAGGTACCACAAAACCGAATCCAAATTACATACAAAGACAGTAGACAAAATCGTTTGCCCACTTAGAGAGAGAGATGGCCTCAGCACAAAACCAATTCTAAATTACATGAAAACAAAAAAGGCTGCCAACTTAGAAAGAGAATACCTTGTGATGCCATACCAAACAAAGACTATCAAAGAAGGAGAGGGATGAAGAGAAGGAAGTAGACCAAGAACAAGATGGAGAAATGCAATTTTTAACTCCTTACAGCAGCTCTATTTTCATTTTTAAAATTTCTCTAAACTCTCTTTTTATTCCCAGTCTTCCAGAACCTCTATTACAAATGTTCAAGGAAAATGTAAATGCAAGATTTGCAGTTTGATTCAATAGAATCTATAACTTGTTTTGAGATTTGTATGCACCGAGATTCTGCTCTCATAAGAATATTTTCTAAATGCATTTTAATGGTTAAAAATTAAAAAAAAATTAAAAAACAACAGGTGTATGCCAAAGCAAGTGTACCGTTTTTGTGGTAAATTTCAATACAAGCAAACTTATCAAGTCAAAATAATCTATCTGTGAAACATTAATGAAATATTTTACATTAAAAATTTTTTTTTTGTCTTACTGTTTTTGTCACACCATTCTTTATGTCTGTGTATGTCGGTATGTGTGTTTATGAGAATCTCTGTGAATCAGTTTGTCTGTGTATGTGTTTGTGTATATGTAAGCAACTTCGATTAATGAAACATTTAGCCACTTCATGGTACAGACATTCACTCAAAAAAAAAAAATCTAGCCTGTAAATCAATGACTTCAAATTTGTTGGCCTATTAGTTGTATGTCCCGTACAGCAGACATGTCAAGCTGGCAGCCCTCTGCAAGCTCACCTGTGGCCAGCACAAAAGGAAATATGCTGCAACATTTTTGATTAGATAACCCCAAATAGCTGTCCTGTGTGCCCCTCAAGACAACACAAATATGACAAATATGCTGGTTGGAGGGGGTCATTGCAAATCAACCCCACCATTTGTGGCAGTGTGTGGTTTTATTAGACAGTTTTATATTTAGTAATAACAGCGTGAAATACATGTAACTGCTCAGTGTTTCTTTCTTCAACTTTCTGACATTAAAAAAAAAAAAAAACTATCTTTACTGCCTACAGTATTTATTATTTTTGAGGAGGTGTAGGCCAAGGGGAGTTTTTGAACCTGAGGATTTAGGTCCACATGGTTAGTGCAGTCGTCATGAAATGTACAGGTTATGATGTTTATTTCTGCTCTCCACAGACTTTTTCTAATCAAAGAGAGCCCAGCATGTTTACACATGTGTTTACCCCCCCCCCCCCCCCCTTCCAAAGGTGCCTCCAGAACCCCCACATGGAATCTGTTTCACTGACTTATGAGAAGTAAAGATATGGTAAGGAAGAGTGACATTTGCATTTTATGTGTACTAATAACAATGCATGGTCACATCTGTGTGTGTGTGTATATGCAGTGTTTATCTGTATGTGTGTTTATTTGCAAATATGCATGTGTGTATTAGTTTATTTATTTTGAAAAAAACTACCAATTTAATGTTGATCAGCATTCAAAACTTTTGGCTACCTGCTCATCATTGACTGACATAAATCTCTAAAAGAAGTTACACTTTCATCAATGAATAAAATATGAAGATGAACTGGATGGAATTCAAACATTCCTAGATGAAATCTATGACCCTATTGTGAAATGTCTATACAACACCTAAATGCTTGTGATTAATGACAACAAATGACCAAGACTAAAACACATATACTGATTATTTAAAAAGTATGTTGTTTGCATTGCACTTAACTATATACAGCATGAAAATTAACAACAGAGTCAATTTCACTATGCTGACCTCTCTTTTGTTCATGTTACATTTGTTAAAAAATAAATAACAGCTTTTTTATATAAATATATCCTTATTTATAACACTGCTTCCAACATGATTACATCATACGCACTAAATTAGCTGCAGCTTTCATACGTCTGCTAGTCTAGATTGCTTAAGAATAAAAAGTCAGAACACTCTCCTGGTTACCACGGACCAATAAAATCGGTGGCATGTCTCGAGTAAGGGTGTCAATCCAACACATGTACAACCCAGCAGCACAGGTACCTTTGCGAGGCATTGGCAGTGTCCTAGAGAAATGTAAAAACAAATTAATACTTGGGTTACGGCCAGATGGAAATGAGAATGGAAGAACAGACAGCATTCATGTCACATGACATCAAGGTGTTTACAAGGTACTAAGATGGGAGCGTCTACACTCATGAGTTTTCCATTATTGTCTGTAATCAATTGTGTGTATACAAGCAATGGTATCATACCATATAATACATTACAATATTTTGCGTGTGTGTGTGTGCATGTGCGTATGTGCATGCATGTGTACGTGCATGTCTGTGAGTGTGTGTGTGTGAGTGTGTGAGGGGAGCTACTATAGGACCCCACCTTACCATTTTTTTTACATTTTTCCATCTCAACAGCAACATATGCATTGATTCTATCTATTTTACAGCACATAAACAATCCTTTTATAATATTTGTGGTCAAAAGTCTAGATATTCGGCTACAAAATAGTTTTTTTTTTTTTATTTAGCAAACTCCAAATTTAAGATTTTCAACAAAGTATGATTTCCATAAATACTTTTCACTGTTCTCAGTTTTTTTAAAATATTATTTTACAAGCACATATGTACAAGAGTATCTCAAGTACAAGAGTTCTGAACTTACATGACAATAAGTGAAGCATCCAGCGACCTTTCTAGGAGCAGTTCTCTTAACCTTATGTGCCTCTGGGTCTGGGGGGAAAAAACAACTACATAGAATCTGTGCAATACTCACATGCTTGTATGTGATGATGTTGTTGCTTGTACACAGTTACTTACAAGTCCATGACGTAAATATATTCTGGTGGCTATGAACTAGGTTACATATCAAATACAGCAAGTGAATACACCAAGTATTATTCATTTTAGAGATCATCCTTATCGCACACTGGACATTACTATATATGCTCCGATTTCCTTCTGAGGATGTCTCCAAGTGTTTTTAGGCTAACAACTCCCCTTCTGTTCTGGCTTTTATAATGACGGGTGGCTCCAGCATGGTTTTCCTGTCTCCATGCTCCCATTGGTACACCCAGGGTATCCAGTGTATACTTTAAAAAAATCATTTTCCATGAAACTGAAAGCCTCACAGCGTTTGCTCTCTCGTATGGCATTGATGATGTCTCTCCTGTCTACAGATGGCCCATTCATTGCCAGCCAGGACATCTGCTCTCTCACTGCCTTTCCCACTGGCATACCAGGGGGAAAAAAAGAGGTGATTTTGCAAATCGCTGTGTGCTGTATCAGATGGAGCAACTGTTTCTGTATCTACCCCACCGTGACTTCTGTAACATGCTCACTGAGTCGCTGAGCAAATATGCATTAGTGAACTCCTGAGCTGTCGGCCATTCAAGGGCCTTTGTCACAGCCATGACTTGCATTATCATGCTGGTGGTGGTAGAAGCAAAGGCTCCACTGTCTTCTTCAATGACTTTCCCTTTGATTCTTGCCATGAAAGCCCATACACTTCGCTTCTGCTGAACCACAGAACCATCTGTATATATATAACAGCATCTTCCAGTGATGTGTGTTCCTCCACCAGTACTTTCACTTCTGCATCAATTACTAGTGGCACCAAATCACGGCACTGTCTTTTCAGGGTGATAACCACAAAGTACTGCTTGCATTTATTTGGTATGAGTATCCATTCCTCTCCACGATTTATGACTTGAAGGGAAATCACACACTGAAGTACTGTCTATGCTGTCCCAACCAAGACTGGCCTTGTTTAAGTTTGTTGCCTTTATGTGTGTATGTGTAAAAAACTTAGTCATTTTGAAGTAGGCACATGCTTGTCACATTTCAAGCCTGCTGTTTATATCTGGAAGATCTAGTAGGTATCTCATTGTTCTACATGATGTGTCTTTGGTGCATCCAGGTATGATGCGCATTGCTTCATTTTGTACCTTTTCCAGTCTATCGATTTGTATTTTGCTGAGGTTGAGGATTGCCAGTGCATATTCTATGTCAGAGGATCAAAAGCTGATAGAGAATGACTAGCAGATTTTGCTGACCACACAAGGCAGCCATAACTCTTATTTTAGCCAAACAGTTTCTGGCCTTGTTGGACATAGTATCTACTTAGAATCTGCAGCTAAGGCTCTGATCAAAATTTACTCCCAAGTATTTTAAAAAGTACAGTTCTGGCTATCTCTTCACTATATGCACAGTCTCTTCACCATGTGCACTGAGGGCATTATTGTGTGTACTATTTGGTTGTTCAAAGAACCAAGTTGCAGTCACTTTTGCAGAGTTAAATCTGTACTTTAAGTATCTAGCCTATCTGACTCAGTTTGTGACTGGAATCACTGGCATAAGCGGTTGAGCAATTATGGGCTAAGCTCATTTGCTGTCTTGCCAGAATCATAACGACTAACTAACTAACTAAGAGTTAAATCTGTGCTCCGGAGTTCTGACACCAATCTGCTATGCGCCCCAGTTCCATCATCTCTGTGACTGGTCTTTTTTTGCCAGTTAGTGACTCCAATTGTTTGTAGGTATGTTTGTAGGTCTGCTTGGATATCACTCTCTACCATCTTCCAGAGAATATCAACTTCATTGCACTGGGTTTGATCCTATACAGCTTGACCTCTCTCCACAGAACAGCTAGCCACCTGTCAAGAGCATCACACAAAGCATGAACTCTATAGCTCCAGCAACAATCCCTAGAGATCTCTGTAAAATTTCAATCATGAACTGAATTGTGCATCCGTGAAATTAACCTACGACCTTTAGAGCCTGAAGCAGGTGGCATGACTACTTTCCCACACAGACCTCCATCTTCCAAGATGAAGAAGAAGAATTATAAATAGCAATATAGCGCCATAAAGTGGACATCAACAATTTTTTTAAAGCTTACTGAAGGAGTATTATCTGCAAATAAACAGAAACAACAAACTATGCAAACTGTTTCAGAAACACTGGTCAAGGGCCACTAACCTTCTCTTTCAGAAGCTCCAATTCATCATCTGTAGTTTTCCATGGATACTGTTCCTTTGTTTCCCCTTTTTGTGTATCAAGTCTCCAGGGTGCCAGATAGGAGTTGAAAATCTTTACGCTAATTGAAGATGAATGTTAGGAGATTATGTACACAGCTTTTATCATCATGATCTGCTTTACGTTTTATCAATTGTTATACTCAAATTTGGTATGATTTACTTCTGTAAAGTCATTTATACTCTACCCAATGTGCTAAGGGGAAGAAGGAAAAAGGAAAACATGGAAGTAGGGGGAGATAAGGCTAAAGAAAATTGTGGTAAGCACAAATAAGTTGTAGTTCCTCGCTGAACATCAAAAACAGGAAAGGTACAGAAAAGACAAGGGTTCTTCTGCACAGGGACCATGAAATGAAATGTTCAAAGCCTAGACAAGGGATATCTGTATGATGAGTTACATAACAACAACCTAACTACAAGACTAATTAACACCTTGAAATACCACGTGGCTATCGAACTACCAAAATCTATCTTGAATCAAGCAAATGAATATAAGCTTCGCATTTAACATATGTTTATTTCACTGAACACAGAATGAAAGCCTACTTCACAGATAACATTACATTAACAACCATCAACTAGCCAAGCACTTCACTAATAAAATGAAATATCTCCGAGCGATGATACCCACTGATATATCTCTCTACACAGTTTAACTACTAAAGACAAATTCAGATTTAACTATGGAACCATACTACCGCCATGAAGTCAACCAGTCTACCATCACTCAGCCGGCCTGGTCTGACACACCTGCTTTGCGTTGAGAATACGTGCAGACAGACAACAGCAGACAGGGTGACTGACCATACCAAATCGGCCACAGAGCAACAGCGAAACAGACAACTAGGCAAGGTCTTTTATTAATTTATGGTGGCCAGGTTTCTTTGCATGTGCAATCAAACTAAATCAAACTAAAATCAAGTTAAATTCGTCGTAGCCCGGCTACACCAAGAAAAATATGCTAATAACTGTATATAACAGAATTCATCTGTTTCTGTTCCTCTGCATTCTCTTATCTGTTGAGTTGCAGCTTACAGCTAAGCTGCAATATCTGCACATTTCAGCCCAACACATCCAATTTCAGCAAACCCTTAATTGCTCATCTTTTTATGTCATGCTTGTTGACAGGCGCCGTGTTTACCCCCCCCCCCCCCCCCACCTCCCCCTCTTTTCCCCTTCCAAATGTGCCTCCAGAACCCCCACATGGAATCTGTTTCACTGACTTATGAGAAGTAAAGATATGGTAAGGAATGAGTGACATCTGCATTTTATGTGTACTAATAACAATGCATGGTCACATCTGTGTGTATGTGCATATGCGGTGTTTGTCTGTCTGTATGTGTGTTTATCTGCAAATATGCATGTGTATTAGTTTATTTATTTATTTATTATGAAAATAAAAAACAATTTAATGTTGATCAGCAACCAGCTATAAAATGACACTGGTTAAAATTACAGTATTGCAATATCAATGTTAGTTATATTGATGTTATACATTTTTTATCAGAATATACATTTTCTATGCGGAAACTGAAGCAATAAATGCCATTACTCACCTTTCCTCAGTTGGTTTTTTGTTGACCTCAGGTAGTACAGTCATATCTTTACAGTCAATTCTGAACTTGGCTAATAGGGTTGCTAATCTAAATATTATGAAAAATGTATATATATATATTATAAAAACAACAACATATATGTATATATAGCAAACAGCTTGCTTGTGTAGAGTTTACAATTTGCAATGAAATATCATTTACTTCATAAATCATTTAGAAAAGACAAAACTAATATTTAATAATGTGACAATCTTAAATTCTGTCAGTTATCATACTTTGCTTACAGTACTTAAAAGTAATCCTATAGGCCTTAAAACAGTGGTTTCCAACCTTTTTTCAGGTCACACCATCTTGACTCCCATGCCAGCTTGAGTATACAGCAAGACCCCCATGCCCTCCTTGAGTATACAACAAGACCCCCATGCCCCCCTTGAGTATACAGCAAGACCCCCATGCCAGCTTGAGTATACAGCAAGACCCCCATGCCACCTTGAGTATACAGCAAGAATCCCATGCCACCTTGAGTATACAGCAAGACCCCCATGCCCTCCTTGAGTATACAGCAAGACCCCCATGCCCTCCTTGAGTATACAGCAAGACCCCCATGCCACCTTGAGTATACAGCAAGACCCCCATGCCACCTTGAGTATACAGCAAGACCCCCATGCCAGCTTGAGTATACAGCAAGACTCCCATGCCAGCTTGAGTATACAGCAAGACCCCCATGCCAGCTTGAGTATACAGCAAGACCCCCATGCCCTCCTTGAGTATACAGCAAGACCCCCATGCCCTCCTTGAATATGTGGCAGATGCCCCTCCCCCCCCATAACAAAATGTGATTAAAAAGAGGAGGACAGTAGCTTCCGCAAAATGGGAAACAGACAGTATGGACTTACATTTTTTTGTGAAAATGTGTTCTCAATCTATAATTAAATTAATTCGATTTTAAAATCTAGATATTCAAACTGCATATGAAAAAAATTCTTTGGCTTTTTTATAAATAATGTTAAAAATATTTTTTTATAAATAAATGGAAAAAAATTATCATCATTATAAAGTGCCTTGCCAGCTGGTGTAGGTGTTCATGCGTCACCATAGAGCTCGGTGGATGATGTTGTCAGTTTCATTTCTGTGACCTTTACTTCCCAGGAGATTTACTAGTACAAATTTGAGGCTAGGTTGACACCAGCATCCATGTCAATGAAAATAAAAATCCTTGCTCTCAAGAGGATAAAAACAGATAAGCACCAAGCTGACAGGCAAACATGTTTTAAACATTAGTGTTATCATGGCTGCCTTTAAAAAATGGACTAAGTTTGAGTAAATCAGAAAGTAATCATGGAAAGATTACTGTTCTGAAACCAACTAATGTTAGGATTATGAAAAATAACTGGGATTAGGAATATAAAATTATATTATGATTATAATTATTATAATTATGATTATGATTATTATTTTAATCTTAATTTCCAATCCTAATGCAACTCTCATTTTCCTAATTTTAATTAGTTCACAACATTAATCTTGCCACTTGCTGCAGGACCTGCCTTATCTTACAGATGTAGAAAATGTGACAAAAAAGGTCATTCCCGCATCAGACTATTTATCATAAGCGGTGCTGTCAGGTAATTTCAAAATCCCAATCTTAGTTTCATAATTTTTGTAATAGTTTCATAATCCTTATCTTAAAACTAACTGAAATAAAGATTATGAAACTAACTGTCTCTGTTCGTATCCCAGATCTCCACTTTTTGTTCCAGCAGCAAATACCCTCAGCCTGCAACCTCTCCAATGGGCTCTAGTGGTGAGGATGTAGGGCAGCAGTAACGTTAGGCCTGAGACGGAATAGAAAACATTTGCTTATAAGTCTATTCATTAATATAGGTTCATATTTGTTCATTGTTTTTTAGGACACATTTGATATACATTGCAAGAACAAAAATATGCATCAAGGGTATTATTTTCATATTGCAAAATAGTAATAATAAGAATACATTTTAAATATACCCATAGCTAGAAAAATTAACACTTAAATGTATTTAATATTAAAAAGCCAAATGTATTTAGATTAAACATTGAGTATCAGAAAAAAAAAAAGATAAAAACTGAATTTATCCCAATTATAACCCAGTAGTGTCTTTTAGTAAAATAGAAGAAAGCTGAACATGAGGTATATGAAGAACAACATGGAATGATAAGATTAAGAGAAACTCTACAACAGCACAATGTGTCTGTGGTTGAGGCAGCCAGAGAATAAAGAAGCAGAACCTTATAGCTCCCTCGACACCTGAAACAATAAAAAAGGAAGTGAAGAAGAAGTGTTCAACAGGATTCCTGTGATTAAATTACTGCTACTAAAGACATCCGGACATATCTAACTACATATTAGACATACATTATCACTCAGATAGAATTATTACTTTGAAAATTAAAAGGGGAGAACAAGCTGAAACATATATACAGATATATGCACCATGCAATGATAATTATACAGAAGAGCAGAAAGATGAATTCTTTGACGATCTGTCTGATGAGATAAAGAAAGTTGAGGGAAGCAGCATACTATATGTAATGGGTGACTTCAACGGGAGGGTAGGAAATAACAGAAGAGAATATGAACAGTTTTTAGGTCCATATGCAGCTAAGAACAGTGCTAGAAATGGAAATGGTCAAAGAATATTGGATCTATGCAGCCAGCACAATCTTTTTATTACGAACACGTTCTTTGACCATAGAGATTCACAACTTTACACTTGGTACAAATGGAATGATGTCTCCATCAAGAGCCAGATTGACTTTATACTTACCAGAGTTCAAGGAAGAAGGAGAATTCTTGATTCAAGAGCAATCCCTAATGGTCTATGTGACACTGACCATAAAATAGTTGTGTTAACAGCAAAACATCTTACATTAAAGAAACACAGAAAGAAATTAAACAAAAACAAGGATCTCATCAAGATAGCAAATCTTAAACAGGAAGGAGTAAAAGAACAGTTACAACAGAAAGCAGAGACAGCATTCAAACAACTTCCACATGTAGTTGGCAATATTGAGGAAGAATGGAGTATATATAAAAACACAATGCTTAGTTTTGCAGAAGAATTATGTGGAAAACGGAAGAGTGGAAACAGACGGGGAAATAACAAATATTCACCTTGGTGGTGCGAAGAAGTAAAAGAAGCAATTAAAAAGAAAAAAGACTTATATAAACAGTGGATAAAATCAAAGAAAGAAGAAGATTATATAAACTATAGACTGGAAAGGAGAGAAACCAACAGGAGTGTCAAGAAAGCAAAACAAGCATCCTGGGAACGTTTCGGTGAGTCACTAGCAGAAAATGAGAAAACAGCCAGCAGAAAATTTTTCAAAGTAGTTAAAAATATGCGGAAAAGAGATGAGAGCTACAACCCCACTGAAATAATAAATGATAAGACAGGAAGGCCATTGATAGATCCACCTGAGATAGCAGAAAGATGGAGGGAATACTTCAATGAGCTCTTTAATCCTCTAGGAGATCATCAGGAAAGAACAACTGAAGAGCACAGAGCAACAGTGTTAGAACCACACATACTAATGGATGAAATAGAAAAAGTCATTAAACAGTCTCCCAAATATAAAGCACCAGGAGCTGATAGATTACCAACAGAAATAATTCAAGCAGCAGGTGAAAGCAGCATCAGATGGCTTCACAGAATATTCAATGCAGCATGGGTACAACAAACGGCCCCTATTGATTGGCAACATGCAATAGTTATTCCATTGTGGAAGAACAAAGGAAGCAAACGAGAATGCGGTCAATATCGAGGCATCTCTCTTTTAAGCCATGTTGGCAAAATGTATGCCAAGATAATAGAAACAAGACTGAGACCAGTGAAAGAACCACAGCTGGCAGAAGAACAGATAGGATTTAGGAGAAATAGAAGCTGCACAGATGCAATCTTCACACTTAAACAGTTAATAGAAAAGAACATTGAATACAATAAGAACTTATTTGTGGCATTCGTAGACCAGGAGAAGGCATTTGACAGAATCGACAGACAATTATTATGGAAAATAATGGCAAAATATGGAGTAAGCGAACACCTCATCGAAGTGTGCAAAAGTTTATACAGGGATTGTAGAAGTGTAGTGAGAATAAATCAGGGAACATCTCATCCTTTCACAGTGACATCTGGAGTAAGACAGGGGTGTGTCTTATCACCACTGCTGTTTATCACCTACATCGACAGTATATGCAATGATGCCAAGCCAATGAATGAAGATCTTAGTAAGATCAACGAATTACTCTTTGCAGATGACCAGGCCTTGATAGCAGATAAAGCCATGAAATTGCAACAACATCTAACATCCATGAATGAAGAATGTAAAACAAATAATATGAGAATCAACACTGAAAAGGCAGAAGTAATGTCAATAGGAAAAAAGAAGACAGATCTAAACATAGCAATAGAATACAAAGGCATTAAACAGGCATCTGAGTTTAAATATCTGGGAACTACATTTACCGAAGATGGGAAATTGGATAAAGAAATTGACATTAGATGCAGTAAAGCAAACCAAGTATTGGGACAGCTAGCCCCCCTCTCTTACAGCATAAGACAATCCCAATCAGCACAAAGAGACATATTTTTCAAAGGATATTTATTCCAACTCTGTGCTACCAGTGCCAGACATGGTCACTCACAACAAACCATAAAAGAAAATTAGTAACCACGGAAATGAGATGTCTGAGAAGGGCTGTAGGAGTGACCATAAGAGATAAGATCAGGAATGAGATCATAAGAGAACAAGTCGGCACAGAATCCAATTCTGGATTACATACAAAGACAGCAAGTGAAATGGTTTGCCCACTTAGAGAGAATGCCTTGTGACACCATACCATACAAAGCATACATGGAAAGAGAAGAAGGACGTAGAGCACGGGGTAGACCAAGAACAAGATGGAAGGATAACATCAGAGAAACTCTACAACAGCACGATGCGCCTATGGTCGAGGCAGCCAGAAGAGCTAGAAACAGAACCTTATATCTCCCTTGACACCCACAGCGGTAAAAGAGGAAGTGAAGAAGAAGAAGAAGAAGACTAAAGACATCATTTACTCATGATTTGGTAGTAGAATAAAAAACTCCACAAGCCCTATGTGCTTTATGGTCATTGCATCAGTTTGGATCCACCAGCTCTAAAATCTCATTTCAGTTTGTTCCAAGTCTGTACTGGATGCCTCATGCCTTCTTGGAAATACACCCTTATTATGGCCCCAATTCTTCGAATTGGCAATGTTATGAACGACAAATTAATATTTTTGCAGCGATTATTGTCAATGTCCTTACCTCCATCATCAAACAGCCACCATACATCAATTGATCCTTTTTCCTTATACCTAAACTTGTTCATTGTCTTTAACACCTGGAATGGAGAGTGCATTTAATTTTAAAAAATCTGAAACATGGAAAGAAAAACTATCTTTATATAGATCCTTTTGGGCCATTATACATCACATACTCTTCTCTTTCATTCTGTCCTAGGCAATTGTTTCAACAGCATGAATGGAAGCAAATTCAGCATTTGTGACTTCTCTGAACAATGTTTATTTTAAGGTTTCTTCTGAATGTCTTCACCTTCTCAGTCCATTCATTTCTGTTTTAAACGCTTGTTTGATGTCCCTGTTCACTTCTCCTCAGGATGTGCTTAATATATCACCTTCTTCTTTGTCTTCTAACTGTTTATACAGCGGTTGTCCAGGCAATGATGTATATATATATGTATATGTATATGTATATGTATATGTATATATATATATATATATATATATATATATATATATATATATATATATATATACACACACACATACATATACACACACATATATTTATATATATATATATATACACACACACACATACATATATACACACATATATTTATATATAATAGATGCATTTGTATCAAATAGAGTAATTATAAAAACCTGACACAAGGAAAATAATGTATAGAAGAGAAACAATTTAAATTTGTAACCTCGAACAAATTATATATACAAGAGACAATATAACAAATAATAATAATAATACAAAAATCACAAAAACAAATAAATGAATACAAATATGGGTAAATTATAACTGCAGTCTAAGTAAGATATGGCTAAGTATATTATTTACATCTGCAGGCAATAACAGCCTGTAAAAACATTTATGTAACAGATAACACGAAACAAACATTATTTTTGGAATTCTAAGGAGAAACTGGCACAAACATAAGTGAATACCTTAAACAGACTGCACACCTTAGGAGCTGCAGTTGATCAGTGAAAGTTTTGAGTTCAAATCAACAGACAGATTTTTATAACTGACCTAGGTTACCCGCTTAACCCATCCTAAAATGCATACCGGCAAAATGTCTTGCAAAGTAAAAGTGGCCAGGATGATTTTGTCAACATCAGCCATCAAGTGGTCTAACAAAAAAAATATAGGTCTGGCTCCATATGCTTGATGTGCCTGTGGTGTGAAAAGGGTCCCCTAATTAACTTTTTAAACCACAGCCTTATGGGTAGGGTATCTACTTTGTTTAAAAAGAGGAAACAGGTATGTTCAAACAAACCCTTAGATCAGCGGTTCTCAACCTGCGGGTCGCTACCATTTTTGGGGTTGAACGACCCTTTCACAAGGGTCGCCTAAGACCATTGGAAAACACACAGTTACTGAAGTTATGAAGGAAAATAATTGTTTGTGGGATGCCACAACATGAGGGAACTGTATTAAAGGGTCACGGCATTAGAAAGGTTTAGAGTCACTGCCTTAGATGAACACTGATGAGAGGATGGCCGAAAGTGTTGAACTGGATTCCATACATGATATTGAGGAGAGTGGCTGAAGCTGCTGGACTGAATGTTTAATTAAGAATCAACATCACAGCAGTCAGGACACTCCCACAAGCATTGTGCCCCCATCTCCAGCAGTAAGCGAAGAGTTCCAACAACAGTAACTGTCTGACTGTGAATCGGTCTCGCCTTTCCCTTGAGTGCCATTCTCCTGAGACCGTAATGATCTGTTTGTGCCTTCTCACTGTTCATTTGTTCCCAAAGAGCCCTCACAACATCTAGCTTGCCATACATCAATTCACCACCAAGTGGTGCAGAATTAACCAGTCTATCTGCATGCTCATTTCCCAACACACCGCAATGACCTGAAGAAAATATAAAAAGGACCTCTGAAGCGATGCTTGCCACTCTGAGCAGAGCAGACTTTCTCAACATGCTCTGTGAGTCGGATGCTGGACTAGATTCCATCCATGATATTGAAATATTTGTGCATGAATAATAAACTAAAAGCCCTATGTGACATGTAACTGCAGCACAGGATGATGATAATGATGTAAGTTATGTTTACTGTTACATCACAGGATTCCTACATACCTTTTTTTGTTTCTTTATTAAATGATCTAATACCACCCTTTTGCATTCAAGATATTTCTCACACCAATGACAGACAATTATTTTTGTGTTCAACTCACCTGAGTGTTTAGTTTACTTAACATACGGGGATTGGCATGATCATCGCCATCAATCTGACTACGTGCTTCATCATCTTCATCTTCATCAACTTCAAGCATTCCCTTGCTAGCAGAATCTTTCAGCTGAGTGCGGCCATTTTTTCCACTTTCAATGTCCTTCCCTTTCCCATCATCAACTTTGGCTACAGTAACATGTTTATCTTGTTGTATGTTTAATGTGACATGTGGACTTTCATCATCACTTTGGTCTGGGTCTGTGAACATACAAATCAAAATGAATATTAAAACTGCATAAATCATGATAAATATTAAAACTGTACAATCCTGATAAACACTGCAGCTGTAAAAAGTCATGGTAAATGTTAAAACTATACATGGTAAAAATTAAAACCATTTTTTTTCTTCTTATCATTCCCTGGCTATAAACTCCAAAGGAAAGTTCTTATTCCTAAACTTTGCTCCTGATTCAGAACTTTGGTTTTGACAGATTTGGTTTATTTATAACCAGACTGCTGGTTCTTTGTCTTTCAGGCAGGCGCACTCAGACTTTGAAGAAAACACTCCTAAATTAGCAGCCTCCTATGACATGCTTGTTAGGGAAGCAGTGGATTTATTCTTTGCTCTCTGAAATGGAGCCTTGGAACCTACATGGGGAAAATCGATCAATTCAAACCATGGAGAACACTGTACCCTATACAAATCATGATAAATAAAAAAAAAAACAGTTATACAATCAATAATAAGCATTAAGGGTAAAAGGTCTTTCTTGTGAGAAAAACAGAGCTACATGTGACTAACCTTCATCATGTCGAGTGTCAAACACTGTTGTATCAGAGTCGACATCCAGACCAAAACCTTCCTTCACACGCAGGATCCCCACACCAAATTTCAGATCAAAGGCATCACTAAATTGTGTTTATGAGAAAATACATTTTTACTGTGACTATAATGTATGGATAAAAACACAGAAAAATTGAGTATTAAATGGGAGTATATGTAATCGTACTAAAGATGATGACCTCATTTTATTTTTCTGCACAAACTACAAATCAATGGCTGTCTAAGTCTCTTTTTCTTTTGCTCTCTCTCTCTCTCACATACATACACACGCACACATGCACCCACACACACACACACACACACATATATAAATTTACATTATGCAACAGGTCCTCGGAAAAATGTCACCACCATCATGACTAAATCTCTCAGTTCCTTGACAACTGTCTCTACATGTTTAACCTATCTTTAATTTCTGTGTTTCCCTTGCTGATAGACCCTTATATCTTCTTTCAGGACCTGTGCCCTCCCACATTTTTACTTTCTGTAAATCACAGCAATATTTCGTTTACCCAGCTATTTGAGTATCCAAGAAATGATACAGTTTATGAGCTAGTTGTTTATGAGCTAGTTGTTTATGAGCTAGTTGTTTCCGATCTTGCTGTGTTACAGTTAGTTTCTTTTTTAATTTTCTTGATTCACAGACATAGTAGATATATACAAGAGAGAGAGAGAGAGAGAGAGAGAGAGAGAGAGAGAGAGAGAGAGAGAGAGAGAGAGAGAGAGAGAGAGAGAGAGAGAGAGAGAGAGAGAGAGAGAGAGAGACAGAGAGAGAGACAGACAGAGACAGAGAGTGAGACAGACAGACAGACAGACAGACAGGCAGGAGGGCAGGCAGGCAGGCAGGCAGGAAGAGAGAGAGAGAGAGAGAGAGAGAGAGAGAGAGAGAGAGAGAGAGACTTAGACAGCCTGGTCTGATCTGCGATAAAATAAAGTTTTCAGGTTGCATTTCCTCTTCCAAGGATAAGCCTAGTGTCCTCTCCAATGTGCACCTCCTGCCTAAGCCACCAGATAGTATTATATTACAAACAAATCCAACAGAATTTACCCAGAAGTATAAATCAACAAGTGAACATTAAGACTGCCTGCATAAGTCAGCTGTCTTATTTAAAGAGAAGAAGTTTATAAGAAACATGATGTGCTTATTTCAGCCTCACTACAGGCTTAAGTTTGGGGCTTAGGCGTTGCAAAGGCGCTTTGTAATGCCGGGATGCCAGGTTCGTTCCCTTTGGGGGACTATTTGTCTTTTGTTGGTTTTGACAGTGGCATGGAGAGCTGACCATTCAGAGGCAATGGCAAACTACTAAATGTAAAATGTGCCTAGAAAAACCCCAACAGCCAAAAAATGCTGGGGTTGGTTCTGCAACGTCATGTAAAGAATAGGCAACTAACTTTTATAGACTAAGGAAAATACTCTTGTAACTTACTGAATAATCCCCAGATACTGTTGTACATTATCTGGGTTGTCTGTTTGCCAGTTGGACTTGAAACCAAGGATAAGAAGATTTGGACGGAACTTGCCAATCCCAACATTCTGGATAATATAATCAGAGAAAAATTTAGAAGCAATGACGCAATTTATAATCTGCTTAAATCCTCATTAATTAGCTACATCATGATGGGCTAACTGAAGGCAATGGTTAGGGCGTATAGATAGAATGGCAGCAGAAAAAGAACTGCAATGGTTGGGGTATATCGAAAGAATTTCAAGAAACAGAGAGACAAAAACTGCACTTTTAAAAGAGTTGACTGGGAGTAACTGGTGAGGCAGACAAACAGGACAATGGAGAGATGCCACAGCAGCTACAAACAGTCACTAACCGGAAAGAGGAGGCAACGTGATGGTTTGTGTGTATGTATGTGTGTATGTGTATGTTTGTGTTTGTGTGTGTGTGTGTGATATCACAGATCTTTTAAATTTTTTCGCGGATCCAGGAAGTCTGCAGACCCACAATTGGAAACTATTGTTCTAGAGTAAAAACAATTATTAAAATAAAAGAAACAGCAGTGTATAGATTAGTTTTTCTGTAGAATTTTAAGCTATGTTATTGTTCAAATTTCTTCAGACTAAATTTACCTGCATTAGGGCCTCAGCCCCAAGCTGGAATGTAGCAGCTGTAGTAGCAGAATAGAAAGACTTGATACGACGATGACGGAAATATGCATAAGCATCATCTGATCGCAGCTTACGGAGGTGTTCATGTTGCTCTCCCTTAAAAGATCAGATGAATTTTTGAATTAAATTTCTTGATAAGGGATCTTAAAAATCCTTACATAGTAAATAAAAGTTTGCAGAATATTCTGTTTGAAACATACATTTCAAAAGCATGCAAACAGAATTGAGATTGTCAACAACAACAAAATATAAAATATAAAAAATTAATGTATCTAACTTTATGAGGACGTACAGCCACTTGTGTGGCCCTGGCCACATGAGTTCTAATATTGTTTTGTTTGCTAAGAAATGAATTTGTATGAACATGTTTTGAGAAACTAGATGGTGAGGATACAGATTTAATGTTTGATTTGTTTTTAATTTATTTTGTGTGATACAATTTGTGTGCGATTTTTCCAGACCAAATAATAAGGAAACAATCTAGAACTGTCCATACTGCAGCTGTCATTGATGAATCTGAACTAGACAGTGGCCTAATGAAGTGTGAAACCAGAGAATGTCTACAAGTATATGACTCAGGAAATGTGAATAAAACAAGTTGAACTAATGAAGATTCATATCAGTATTATTCTTCAAACCACATTTGGAAGTTGGCAGTTGATTTCAGCCAGTTTTATTTGCTGACCCATGTTTGTGGTCTAGCGTGTGTGGTTGTACTTAAGTCAACATTGTTAAATTTTCGTTGTGCTTTATTCACTCTGAAAAGTTCTGATGTGTATAATCAGCAACCTGTGGTAGTGAGTGAATTAAGTTATTTTGTTATCAGCAAGAGTGTATGTTTGAATAATTGGAGATTTTGTTCTGTGGCCAGATGTTCCACCAGCTGGTGTACACTAGTTGTGTCCAAACTGATTTAACTCTCCACTTGGGAGTGTCAGGGGTCACCATCCTACTCATCTACACTAAAAACTATGTCATTTTGTGTGTGTGTATAGTATACAGCAGGGAATTTGTCTCTGTGCTACATCACAAGCCATCCAAATTGTACTGTGAATGTTAATAGATGCCAATGTTGTCTTTGAGTGATCCATGTTGTTTGATCAAATCTTTTTCTTCTTTGTTCACCTGCTATCTATAAACTCCCATGGAAAGTCCTGGTTGTTCATCCATTTAGACTTTGGATTTGTGCCAGTGCTTAGTTTTGCGGGTACATCTGTTTCACTGGCTTATTTGTGTGTAGTTGGTTGTTCCATGTCGCTCGGGCAGAAGCACTCCCACTTCAAAAGAAGTCCCAAATTAGTTGACTCCTACGTCATGCTTGTTGGGGAGGCAGTAGGTCTACTCTTGTTTTCTCACAATGGGGCTCCAGAACCCACATGGGGGGGGGGGGGGGTTGATTGAATGACTATGTATGTTCTATTGAACATCATCATCCTACATACTGTCGTATGTGATTCTTGATAATAAACCTTTGTAATGGCCATCTGTGTTAGCATTTGTGCAGACTCTCATTTCTGCTGTCATCAGTTGCTGCTCTTTGCAAACCTAGGAGCCTTATTCAGTTTGTAAAATCTCTGCCCCAAAAGACTCATTTGTGTAAGGACATCAGTAAAGAAACATATTTGTGCCATCTTCACAATAAAAGTTTGTACAGTGCACCAACTGGGAATACTATGTGGCGAGGTCCCAATCTTTTTCACAGTGTGACTCTCATACCAGTGCCTGAAAGTCATGAGAACCATCTGCCATGGAAATCAAACCCTAGTACTTTAAGGGCTGAGGTATTGTAAAAATGCCATTCAGTAAACTCTAAGCCACATATGTTTAAATAGGTGTATGGTTCTACTTTCTGAAACAACTTTCAGAGTGTGTACATAATTGTAACTCTTTGAGACCAAGAGGGTTTAGCATCAGAGGATGAAGGGGTGGTCAAGAGAACTGAAATATCGGCGCATCTTGCATTTACTGGGCTTCTATGTAGAAAGCTATGAACGTATGATGCAACCCTTGGGACTGAAAGAGTTAAATGACTGAAGAAACTATACTTACAATAATAACATTGCCACAGACCATGAGACCCATCTTCTTGGTGAGAGGAGAGCAGAAATCTACCAGGGCAGGTCGTGTGTCAGGTTCCCCAGATAACACCAGCACCTGGGGCCTTCAAAAGAAAACATGCAGGTCAATGTAACATAAAGATAAAAACAGCATTTTGTTTATATATTTTGGTACAAGCCCTAAGAGAGTCTGTGAACAATGTAGACAAAACAACAGATCATCGTTGTCTAGAAAGATTTAAGCAAGTGGGAGAGACCAGAGGATCTTGCAGACACTGAACATTCAGAGGAAAGGCAATATGGAAATATAATCACATTACAGCTGGTACTTTCAGTATTAGAACTCTGCAATGGCTGCTGAAAATGGGGATTGAACATTTATGGAAATGTCCTGCATGCTATCAGTTAGTTCTCAAGTTTTAGTAGTTTATTATTGTATTATAAACACTGTGTCCTGTAATTTTTGTTACCTTCTCACCAATTCATGTTCACGAATTGCATTAAACATGCCTTTGCCACTTTAGAGTAATGAGACAGGTGAGTCTGCATGAGGATCCCTAAAAAGACCCAAATTGTGGAAGGGTCAGGCAGAGGACATTATTCAGAAGGTGTGTTCTAACTTATTAACTAACTAACTAACTATTAACTAACTGACTGACTGACTGACTGACTAACTAACTAGCTAACTAACTAACTAAACTCCACCCTTATATCTATTGACATATCCGGCTACCATTTAGACTAGGGCAGCCTGGCAACTCAAGTCAGTTGAAAAAACAAAAACCTGTATCGATAGGCAGCTGAATACACAATCACTGAGCTAGTAGGCAAGCCTGCTAATACAATGTATGTTTTTGCACTGAACCCGACAAATATTCACATTGTGATTGCTGTACAAAACTTTAGACTCAAAACCAAGAAAGAACTTCACAGCAGATTTCTTGTTTTTGTACCTGAAATTTTTGATGTGTTCTCCAACCCTGATCAACTTCAGTGCTGAATGTAGGACACTTCTGTAGACATGAGCTTGAGTGGAGGAACCCCAGTTGACATCTGAAGGTGAAGAAATCAAACATGCAGATTGAAAATATATGTTGTGAAGGAGTGGCTGGTCAAGTGGTTAAGAATGCTGGATTCACATTGGAGGACCCAACTCAAGTTCAAATCCTCAGTAAGGTGACGGATTGTTTCTGCCGATGGCAAAAATAAAATCCTTACCTGCACAGTGCAAGGCAACTGCACTAGCCATGCAGGCCTACATCTTCAGGCTCAAGACCCACCTGTCTTACACCACCTTAAAAAGTGGTACATACAGGTCAGGCATTAATGACTTTAAAAACAAATATATGTTGTGGAAGTCATTCAATTTCCTTCATCAATTTAAATCTTTGCATCTGTCATACATAAAGTTTTATTTTCTAAATATTATTTGACAAGTATTTTGTTCACCAAACCATCAAATAACTGGGTATATATATGGGATGTTTAAGTTGTTCAAGTAGCATTACATCAGGTCTGTAAGTGAGGAAGTAGTTAAAAAAAAAAGTTTGTTACATGTCCTTTGTTGCAGAACCAACCCCAGAATGTTTTGGCTGTTGGTGACTTCACTAGGCAATTTTACATTTAGTAGCTTGCCACTGTTTACTGAATGATCAACTCTCAATACCACTGCTGAAACCAATAAAAGGTAGCATGCTGCCAGGTCGCTTACCTCTGGACCAAACCCAAACCACAGAATACAAAGTGCATTCACCATGCATCACAAAAAGTTGCTACAAGTTCGAAAGTTTAAATTTGACAGAACTGAATTTATGGTACTGGATATGACCCCATATGACTTCATATCTATCCACATGATGGCTATATGTATACTAAGAGTGTCACACAAAACACAAACTCTATAACTCCTGTGACAATCCAATGGATCTTAAAAAAAAAAAAACCCACCAGGAAGGAAGACAAGGAGAAGACCAAGAAAGAGACAGAAAAATGGTGTAGCCGAAGTCTTTAAAAAAAAAAAAGAAAAATCTACCACCCACGCAAGACAAATACAGACAACCATGACACTGGGCTACAACCTGGCATCAGTGAGATGACAAAAGATTATGAAGAAAAATATGAAACACGCAATAATATCCACTAATGAGAAGACAAAAACTATATATCCCAATTATAACTCAGAAAGGTTGAACATAATATTTAGAATACAATTACTACTACTAAATTTAAATAATGTGAACTGTTTTACCTGGCTTCCAGTGCCGCACATACATAAACAGACTGCCAACACAACCAAAAGTAACTAATGCTGTGATCCAGTTAATGATGAACATGACAGCAATGCATAGCAAGGCTCCAAACAAACTGAGCCACATGTTGTAAAAACGAAACGCTGGACGCCAACCTGCAGAAATAAATCACAGATATACTTTACACAAAAGTGTACACACTGAGAGGTAGAAAGACATATACACATAGTTAGAAAGACATATACACATAGTTAGAAAGACATACACACATAGTTAGAAAGACATATACTCATAGTTACTCAAAAGTGTACACACTGAGAGGTAGAAAGACATATACACATAGTTAGAAAGACATATACACATAGTTAGAAAGACATACACACATAGTTAGAAAGACATATACACATAGTTAGAAAGACATATACACAGTTAGAAAGACATACACAAAGTTAGAAAGACATATACACATAGTTAGAAAGACATATACTCATAGTTAGAAAGACATATACTCATAGTTAGAAAGACATACACATAGTTAGAAAGACATACACACATAGTTAGAAAGACATATACTCATAGTTAGAAAGACATACACATAGTTAGAAAGACATACACACATAGTTAGAAAGACATACACAAAGTTAGAAAGACATATACACATAGTTAGAAAGACATATACTCATAGTTAGAAAGACATATACTCATAGTTAGAAAGACATACACATAGTTAGAAAGACATATACTCATAGTTAGAAAGACATACACATAGTTAGAAAGACATACACATAGTTAGAAAGACATACACATAGTTAGAAAGACATATACTCATAGTTAGAAAGACATACACATAGTTAGAAAGACATACACATAGTTAGAAAGACATACACATAGTTAGAAAGACATATACTCATAGTTAGAAAGACATACACATAGTTAGAAAGACATATACACATAGTTAGAAAGACATACACATAGTTAGAAAGACATATACACATAGTTAGAAAGACATATACACATAGTTAGAAAGACATACACATAGTTAGAAAGACACATACACATTGTTAGAAAGACATATAGACATAGTTAGAAAGACATACACATAGTTAGAAAGACATATACATATTTAGAAAGATATATACACATAGTTAGAAAGACATATACACATAGTTAGAAAGACACATACACATTGTTAGAAAGACATATAGACATAGTTAGAAAGACATACACATAGTTAGAAAGACATACACATAGTTAGAAAGACATATACACATAGTTAGAAAGACATATACACATAGTTAGAAAGACATATACACATAGTTAGAAAGACACATACACATAATTAGAAAACAATACATATAGTAATATAACACAACAGGCCCTACACCTAAAAACATCTAGTGAAGGAGCAAGAGGAGAATATGGACTGATGACATAAAAGACATTATACATACACACTGAAAGACAATGGTCAATACCACCCACTGACAGCTGGATCATAAACTGTTCCTTTTCATAATAGGTAATGGCGAATGATGATTCCCAGTGTGAATTCCAGGGCCCCAATTTTGGGGAACAAAAAAAAAAAAAATAAAATAAAAAATAACAGACCTACTGCCCTCCAAACGAGCATGTTGTTCAAAACAAACATGTTGTACAAAACTAGCATTTTTTGTACAAAACAAACATGTTGTACAAAACAAGATGTTGTACTAAACAAGCATGTTGTACAAAACAAGCATGTTGTACAAAACAAGCGTGTTGTACAAAACAAGCATGTTGTACAAAACAAGCATGTTTACCAAATAAGCATGTTGTACAAGGCGACGAAGTAAGGAAGTTTCCATAGAAGTTAAAGTGCATCTGCGTAACAAGCAAGGAGCCAACAGTCTACATACAGATCAAGCCAGACCTGTAAAATGTAAAGCTCATATCCTGCAAAAAGACCAAAGTCCAGAAGCAGATAAACAACCAGAACTTTCTGCCAGAGTTTACAGTCAGTGAATGTAAAAAAAAAAAAAAAGAATATAATGATGATGATCAGTACACAGTTGTTGAAACATCACTATGTGTGTGCATCATTCTACATGTTACCGTCTGCATGGACAAACAGGTTTTTTTAAATTTAAGCTTGAATGTGAATTAATTATGCAGTATATATTTAAAATTGTTAGGGTGCATACAAAGTATCAGTTAATTTTAAACAAAACAAAATATAAACTGTCCTACTGAAATGTCAAACATGAAAAGCACTCACCTGGTGACCTGGCGATGGATGCATCAAAGCATGAAAAATTTATCAAAGCATAAGACATAAGGAAAAAGTTGGAAATCAAAGGAGCAATAGCATTCAGATCAGCTGGGGGAAAAAAAGAACAAGAAATTCAAATTAGTTGTGTGAAAACATGTACACATACATAGACTAAACACAATGTTTAAATTGTATATTTGATTTAGAAAGTTTAAAAGCATGTGGGTGAACCACTTAATTTTGTTAGTTCAGGAAAGTTTGCAGAAGGTGATGATACTATCTCTAAACTTGTATTCTCACTGCTACAAGAAGTAAATAGAGTCATCAACAAAGAACTAAGACATATGGTAGGCACAATACCAGTAAACAATTTCATGAACATCAATCCAAGAATCAAATGGTTTGGTCATCTGGTCAGAATGAAAAAAGAAAATCAGCCAGCAGCAAGAGTCTACTACAGGAGAACAGCAGGTTACAAAGTAAGAGGCCAGCCAAGAAAGACATGGGTGGATGGAGTAAAGGAAACACAATATGCAAACATGACATTGACACAAGCTACACAACTAGAACAGGAAATTACATCTAACTACTCTCTGCGACACTACACTGCATAAGCAGTAGGACAAAAAAGAAGAAGAATAAAGGTCATGAGCATACAAGTATACATTTACATAATAATAATTCTGTTTCATCTCTGCAATGAACGTTGGCTATGGTGTACCACTGTGGACTTTAGGAATACAGAGGGAAGTCCCAGTGTCTTCCATGGTGTGATTCCCATACCACAGTCCTACAATCATGAGATGTTTATTTAAATAAACCATCAGCCATGGAAGTGGAATGCTAGTACTTGAGGAACATGACATTGTTCAATGCATTCACTAACCTCCAAGTGGGTATTCCTCAACCTTTTTGGCTCACCAAAACAATTAATTATTTTGAATTAATGGACATGGAACAAAGCATGTAGTTCACAATGTTCCAACATGTGATCCTGTCGGTGACAGATTATGGATTTGGCATGCTTACCATATCAAAGAGTCAGCTAATGAAACTTAAACCCATACAGAATTAAGCCATGCGGGTAATTCTGGGATGTACAAGAGATACCCCGGTGGTATGTATACTTGCACTGCCTACTATTGTAGATAGGCTCAAAGTTATGCAAGCAAAGTCATATCTCAGAGTAGCTGCAGACAAGAGGCACATCCTGCATGAAGCCCTTGGTAGAGCTAAGGGTCACAGACTGAAAAGAGGAATGTCTTGGATGGCGCAAGCTAAAGACACAATTGGACATGTGTGCAGGCTTTATAAATTTAGGCAAGGAGAGAAATGGGTCAAAGTGTCTGATCAGGTTTTAGACCGGTGTAGGGTTCTAATCCCTTTAGGACGTCAGTGCAGGAACTATGCCCTAATATTACTGTTTCATGAGGTTGAATGGGGTTTCTGACATTTGTACCTGTTAGATTCTTATTATTAATCCCACAGACTGCAATTCTGGAAATGAAAAACTACCTACCATAGCCGGTTATATTATTAGGCAGACAACTGAGGTTTGAGGTTTTTAACAACCGATCAGCATCATGGCCCACCGGTAGTAACCTATAAGTGCTCCGTTCTTCTTCTAACTCAAGCCTGAGTCCGAAGAAGCTCAGCATAGTGCACAGGCTCTGTAGCACCAACAAGGATCCTGAAATACTTTGGGTAGATTTTTTAAATCCAAATATTTCCCGGGCAGCGCCATTAGGCTACTCTTTTCAATTTCCAACTGCTAAGTGATTTTTTTACATGCGCAACAATGCACGCAGGCGACCAATCTCACTATCCAGAGGCCAGGGGGAATTACTAGAAGTCCAAGTCCACGTGAAAAAATCACAGCCCTTACCGGGATTTGAACCTAGAACTTCCAGCACTCGAGGCAGACATTTTGCCTTGAGACCATGCAGTCCCCTTAGGCAGACAATTTTGGCAACCCATCTGGACTTTTCCATAGCTCACCAGTTGACAGCGGCCCACCGGTTGAAGAACACTGCCATTATAATTTATCAACTAGTAAGGAATTAAACTGAATACAAAGATGTTTGTCTATCACATATTTTCCATATATACTATTTTCATCCTTAAATATATTGGATGACGGACGTATGTACATTTTAAAAGCATTTAAATATAATGCAACTCATTTCTGATTCTCAAAACTAGTTTTATAAAATGCCATTATTTTTTGGAGCCACAGTATTCTAAAAATGCTTTTGTTAACATTTAAAAGCTTTAATTTTTTTCAGCATATATTGTCACAGGAAAGATGCATGTTCTCTAATTTTCTGTTGTTGCTTGATTGCATTATTTGCATATATTTAAGACTGGTCTCTGTAGATGCGGGTTTACAGATAAATATGTCGTATTTCATGGAAACAAAAACAGTCCAATACATAGGTTCTGGAAAGGCTACAAATGAAAAGAGAATTACTTAAATAAATAAAGAAAGAGACAATTGAAATACCTTGGCCACAATGAAAGACATAACACACCTTTAAAAACCATACTGTAGGTAAAGGTCAAAGGCAAGCGAACAAGAGGTAGGCAACGATACAAGTGAGGACAACATCAAGAGATGGAAGGGCAGCAGCCTAAGAGAGTGTAAAACCAGGACAAGAGACAGAGCCTGTTGGAGATTCATTGCAGCCAACCTTCACTGTGGAGACGGCACCTGATTGACTGATGATATTTAAAATTTAATGTTGAGTTACAAGAATCATAATGAAAAAAATCTATACCAGTAACAGAAAACCCACAGTAAATTATAAATATAATTGAACTATCAGACATACCTATTAAATTGAATGACAGTGCAATAACAAAGCACAGGATGAAGGCTCGATGGGGATTGTCATTTGGTCCATGTCCTGCACCAAAGTAAGCAAAGAATGGAAATATTCTATCCTTGCAAAGGGCCTGTGAAAACAAAGAAACAAAATGTGCTGCACAATGTGTTACTTTACAAAGAAAATAGTAAGAAGTTTAGAATTATTAACAGTGAAATTAATTGCCCCATCCAAACAAATGACCGCATGCAAGCTCACACTCTTAATTTTTAATTTTATTTAAAAAGTTTTTAATATATTACTTACTGATAAAAAAACCTTTTTTTTATTTATCTAGCAAACGTTTTAAATTCTGTTTTGATAATACAATACACGACTGACAATAATAATATTACAATTAAACAAGAAAAAATACCACCATAAAAAAATTTATTCAGATTCTTCTTTTTTTACATTTGAAAAAAAATGAAAAAACCCAAATTAGCGCTCAAAACCTAATAAAAAGGTAGAAAACAGTACACCACTAAAAGCATTATATTAAATTATTTCAAAATTATTAACAAGGATAAGAAAAGATGAAGAGTCAGTAATGAGGTGGAATTTGGAAAAAAAAGAGTGACTGATAGTACAGATTAGCTGATAGGAGCACAGAAAAGTATAATTATAATAAGCACAGTAAGTTTAGAAATGGCATTTATATTCCCAGGCTCAAGGGCCTAAGCCTTTTTTAAACTGATGAATAATAATGAACTGAGTGGCAAATATATACATATATACATATATACATTTATCTGAAATAATATGATCTGTATAAATGAAAACTAAGAAAGTTAAGCGGGAGAGTGCAGCTTTCACCTCTTCTCCCTCTAAAAATTTAAGAAAAAGGGGGGGGGGGGCGGCAAGTAGTCTCAATCCTCAGGTTCTGGTGCTCCTGTCAATAACACAGAAAACATGGTTCCGAACACGGTTCATCAGGGTGTAAGATCTGGCTGGGGATTTTCAGCTAGAATGAAGGGAAAAATTGTGGCAGAACAAAATGGAGCTTTTTTATTTACAACATCAAGCATGACATAGAAGTGGAGGCCATTACTGCAGCTCTAAATATGATAACAGAAAACAAAGTTACCAGAGGAATTATTGTGTCTGATTGTCAGTCAGCACTGCAGAAGATTCAAAATAGACTAATGTGGCATGAGTGGATACCATGCATCATTATGCCAACATTGCAGGGAATCATGTGGATATACTGTCTGGGATATGCAGGAGTGCCAAGAAATGAAAGTGCTGATTTTCTGGCTACAAAAGCAAAAACTATGCGAACACTCACACTGGACTGAAGACCATATATGAATGACTGCTGACAGAAGACATGAGATTAAAATGAAATAACAGGTGCAAGAACGCGTGAATGAGGAATTAAGTGTGGATCCGGCAAGGAGGGATGGATGAGAGGACGAGAACAACATGTGAATAATCAGTGTGCTACGGGAACAGTTGGCATCTACACCTTAAGATATTTGCTGCAGGAGTTGGAGCATCTATGGGTATGCCCTGTGAGCTATGATGTCGATTCTTAAATCAGTAATCAGATTGCCAGCATTACCAAGTATGGTACAAGATAATGATTCTCAGTAATAAAAACTTGTAACCTGTTACATCAACACATAATAAAGCACAAAAACTGAATAGGTTTAATTGAAATAAAAATGGTCTCTCATGAGTTATGAGTTAGATTATCTTCACAGCACTCCGGACACATCCATAGGCGCTCAGATTGTCCTCTCAACATATTGATCAGCGTCATGTTGTTAATAGTGCCAGTCCTATGTTGGTTAACAAGACTTTGTGTGTGCCCAGTGTGCTTCCCATGCTTGGCTGTGCTGATCTTTATTTCCAATTCATGTATTCTTAGCAGTGATGTAGACAGGTTGCTTCCGAAATCCTCAGAACGTCTTATCTCTCTAAGGGCAATGACATGATCCATGGACCGGCCATCTTCAAAATAATATAACACCTGCCAGTCTATCAGCTCTTTCATTACCAACAATGCCTGCATACCCTGGGATGTATACAAAGGTAACTGCACACACAGAAGAGTTTTGCAATGACTCAAACCACTGCCTGCGTAACCAGCCTGCTTCAACCTGCCAGATCATGCTCAAAGAGTCACTCAGCACACACACACGGGAATAGTCCTGTGATTTTAGCCACATGAAAGCTTGTGTCATGCTGCTGGTGGTCATGGAGAAGGCACCGCTGGCTTCTTGAACTGTTTTGCCTGAAGATCAAGCTGTGAATGCCCATTTACTCTTATGTCTTCTCAATACACCATGTTCAACTAATACAGTGAAATATGGCGAACAATAAAATGTGCAATGCATTATATGTGTCTGTATTATTTAAGTTCACCATAGGAAAACATTGTTTTAAATTTAAATCATCACCCACAGAAAGCCATAACAGACAATACAGTGCCTAACACACATACAGTGTTTGTCACCTCAGCTCTTACCTGAAAGACTTTTGGTGCGGACATCAGGCTGGCTAAAGCTGAAGAAAGAGTTGCTGAAAATATGCCAGCTAGAATTAAGGGACCCCATGCTGATGTCATCTCAATAACCTGAAATTAGACCCGGACATAATTAAACGAAAATAATTAAAAAAAAAAAAGAAAAAAAGGAACAAGAAGGTTATTGTCTACATCATCATCAGGTGCCTTGCCAACTGGCATGGGTGATCATGCCTCTCCACGATCTGCAATCTGCAACTGTATGTATCAGTTCATGTGTTTACACCCCTCCTTGCCATGACAAAAAACTGTCCAGAATCTTCTCATGCTGTCTTCCTCTGTCTCTCTTTTCCCAGATCTTTTCAGTGGTCACAACATGTTTCATTTTCCCTCTTCTCATAACATGACCGAAAAATACACAGTAGAAACTTTCTCAAAGTAGAGTTCACCACTGTAAAAAGATGCTTTGTTTTTTAATTAGCTCAACTTTATAGGAAATTGTCAAGAAAAGAAAGAGAAGGAGGAAAGCAAGGCAAGTAAAGCATCCTTTTCCACACCTTCAGGTGTATTGGGCATATAGGGCAAGATCTATATTTTATAGACCAGTCAGCACTCGATGGCAAGGCGTAAGGGAAGTTTATATGTAGTAGCATAAATTAATGTGAGGGCGTGGCACTTCATAATCCAATGCAATATCTGCTTTGCAACGTTTACAAAAACAGATATGTTTCCTCACCATCATTTCCTCTTTTACTGCTTCAGGTGTCGAGAGTGATATAAGGTTCTGCTACTTGTTTTTATGACTGCCTCAACAATGGACACATTGTGCTGTTGTAGAGTTTCTCTGATGTCTATCTTTCTATCTTGTTCCTGGTCTACCTTGTGCTCTACATCCTTCTTCTCTTTTAGTGTATGCCTTGTATGGTATGGCACTAAAAAGGTATGTTTACTGACAAGAATGCTGTAAATTCTTTGATAAAGTTAGTTATGTAACCTTCATATGATGCCGAAGAACCAGTCGCAGCATTCTGGGCTGCCTGGTTTTACTAAGCAATTTTACACTGAGTAGTTAGCCAATTGATTCAAAATCAATGCAAAGCAGTCTGCTGCCAAATCACCTGCAGTTGGAATCAAATTGGGTATCTCAGAATTATGAAGCGTGTTCACAAAGCCTGAGAAATCTTATTTAATTTTGTTATCAAAGCGCCACATTCAGTAGTTTTAAAGAAAGACATTGTCTCTAACAACAGGAAAACTGGCATAATTAAATTTACCTGATATGAATGAATAAGTCCATACTTGCATCCTTCGGGAAGCAGGGAGCAGTTTGCTACAAAGGCCATGTTATAGCTAAACTCTTCAGTTGTGAACACCGGAGAAACTGAAGAAACAAACAAGGCAGGACTTTGGTATAAATGTCAATACATACATGGTGAGTTGTTTTGGTGCTGAAAGAGCTAAAGTGCTACCTTGTTTAGCTTCAGAGTTACAACTGTGCTGATATTTTGGAAAATGAACAGACATATAGACTGGCTGGTTCTATGCTGCCTGGTGGTGAATTTATGCCTGAAAAACTAGATGTTGTAAGAGTGCTTTGGGAGCAAGTGGACAGTGCAGAGGCACAAATAGATGGTTGCAGTATGAGGAGAATGGTGCTGCCAGGAGTGACCAAGGAATCCCGGTCAATGCTCAACACTCAGGGGAAAGGTGAGATAAATATACAATCAGACAATTACTAGTACCACCGGATTCGGAACCCTGTGTTGCTGCTGAAGATAGGGATGGAGCGCTTACGGGAATGTCTCTAATGCTGTGATGTTGATTTCTTAATTCAGCATTCAGAATTACAATAGCTGCATTGACATTTATACCAAAGTCCTGCCTTGTTTGTCAAAGGGTGCAGATATCGCAGCATGGATGTAAACCACAAAATCACATGACAATCATTGAGCCAAAAGGTGTAGATATTGCAGCCTGGCTATAAACCACAAAACAACCCGCCAGTCACTTTTTTAACCCTTCCCCGCTGGGCTAATGGCAGCTACACAGAAAACTTATAATCAACAACATCATTAATTTGCTTGGTTCCAAAAGAAATGTGCTCTTTAGTTAATTTTATTTTCAGAAATTGTAATTCGCCTGGCAAAAGTGACTTTTAGCAATATGCCAAAGCTACTCACCAGTAATTTGTCAGTTGCAGTAAGGAATGAATGAATCAAAAACTGACATCACTACACATAGGACATTCCCACACATGCTCCGTCCCCTTCTTCAGTAACCAATGAAGAGTTGTAATAGTGCCAGTTGCAACCTGATTAAAAGTCTGCCACTGTTTTTCCTTCAGTGTTGAATATCTGTTCTTTTGCACTGTCCATTTGATCCCTTGAGCCCAGAGGAGCGGCAGCAGCTAATCGGCAGTGAGGAAGAGAATATTAAAGTGCTACATAGAACCTGTGTTCTTATATGTATGTGTTCCCTGTGTGGGTTCCAGGGCCCTATTATAGGGAAAACAAAAATAAACCCACTGCCTGCCCAAAATCATGTCGTAAGAGTCGACTAACTGGGAGCTTCCTTCAAAGTTGGAGTGCATCTGTCTGAGAGGAAAGGAACCAACAGTCTGCATAAAAATTAGTCAGATCTGTCAAATGGATGCACACGCAACACTCAGGTTCTGGAACAGGACTGCAGTCCAAATGTTGATGAACAACCAGAACTTTCCGCTGGAGTTTTCAGCCAGTGAACGCGAAGAAGAAGAAGAAGAAAAAGAAGATATGTATGTGACATGGACAATAAGAGAACACACTAAAAAAATATTCGTTGTTCCCTCACAGCATTACATGAGTTTTTTTTAGAAGAATGCAAAGAATTGCCTGAAGTGATAGAGAAATAAATAAAGCACCAGGAGAAAGTCATTAACTTATTAGAACAATAAGACGTAGACAGTCTGTGTTTTTTGGGCACATTATGAGAAGCAACAGGCTTGAGAACGTGGTAACAGCTGGCTAGACTGATGGAAAGATAAAAACGAAGGCAAAGACATAAATACTTGGATGGCTTGGCTGCATGGATGGATTGAGACAAGAACATTGACCTGATCAGTGATTCTGGTTATCGTGTAAGATGGCGAAATATGACAGCCTATACTTACTGCCATGGTATATGAGAATGACAGTGGTGATGATGATGATGATATTTAAAAGACGTTCATAGTTACCTTTCGTGGGTAAAACAGATGCAGTGGTTGGCACAGAGTAAACCGAGTCATTTAACGAAGGACTCCCCACAAAGTGCAAGCTGGCTGGTGTTGTTGTATTGGCAATGGCTGACAACACAGAAGTCGTAGAGCTTCCCAACATGCTGGAGACACTATCATTAACTACTGAAACCAGGATGATGCCATTTGCTTCCCGCAGGACAAATGCTCCAGCAAACACAGCAATCAACAGATATACCAATGTTGTGATTAGGATCGCTAAGAAAGTGCCCTTAGGAATCGACTTTGATGCATCCTGTAAAAAAAGGGACATAGTATTGCTTCAGCTATAATCAAATTTATCTCTACCTAGAATACATAAACATGATCTGAACATCGGGGATAATTGGCTCATAAACAGCATCCTATTCTGAAAGCTGTGGAGTTCTGGCCATATTGGACATCATAATGGCCTGGAGAGAATCGTGATGGAGAATGCAGTGATTAGAAAACGAGGCAGAATCCAACCTGGGCGAAGATGGATACAGCACATTAAAGATACAATGGCTATGAAAGCACACAGAGATGAAGGCATAGCAACAGAAAGAACAACTTTCAGGCGTGCCATGAAGAGAACAACTTTCTGTAGAGGACCTGATGACTGATGATGATAAAAATATATTAATGTGTTAAGTTAGCTGCATATCCTTTATAGGACATTGCAGAAGCAACCCCAGCATTTTTTGGCTGTTGTGGTTTTTCTAGGCAGATTTTCGTCCAGTAGCTTGTCATTGCTTTCTGGACGGTCGGCTTCTTGATGCAACTGTTGAAACCAACGCAAGGCCCACGGCTAGGATCAAATCCAGCATCCAGGCATTATGGAGTGCATTCGCAATGTCTAAGCCACAGAAGCCGACTATATTAATGCGTGGGCAACAGAAATGAGTGATCTATATAATTTGCACAATTATGCAGCATATAGTTTTTAAAAAAAAATAAAGCGGCATTCACAAACACAGGAAAAAACAGTGTACTGGCACAGAGGCATATGTTGCTAGATCTATAGTTTTATAGACCAGTCAACAACTGGTTGTAGTGTGTGTATGTGTGCAAGATCATGTGTATACATGTGTGTGTATGAGTGTGAATGTGTGTGTTAGTGTGGGTGGGTAGGTGTATGTATGTGTGTGTGGGTGCATGCGTGCATTGTTTATCTTTTAGTCTCCAGCACCCACCATCCCTAATCTTATGCATTCATGCATGCTTCTTCCAATCCAACATTTAATGTTGTCTATCCATCCATTCAAATACAGTGTGACTGTCCTCATGCATGCCTCTCCTTCAGTATTTCCCCCCTTTTAGATTTCTTTATGAAAAATATCTTATGCAATAAATCGCTCTCATTTAATGTCAGAAAGAGGGTGCTAAAATGTTACACAGAACCTGTTCTTCTGTATGGCAGCAAATCTTGGAATGTCAGTGAATAAATTAAGAAGAATTTGGAAGCAACAGAGATGTGGTTTCTGAGACGAATGTTACGAATACCTTGGACGATCAGAGCAACTAACAACGCTTGCTAATGAAAGCAGATCTCTATATACAACAAAAAGAAAGACTCAAACACTGTTATCTGGGAACATAATAAGAGACATTGAAAATATCATGACAACTGGAAAGATCAGTGGAAAAAGGGGTTAAGGCACATGATGATGATGAAACATTTCTTTCCATTACATTATCTTATTTCACTGAGCACCAAACAATGCACAGTTGTGTTTCCTTACAAGATATGTGTTTCAATTATTTTATATGTTTCAATAACTCTATGAGCTCCAATCAGTTGTATCATTAACTCACACTATTACTATTGTTACTTCAACCTCTTTTGTCCACAGTATATTACTTTAACCTCTTCAGACCTAAACAGTTGGTATTTAAAGCAAAAACTGTTTAGTGCCGAGGGAGTTGAGAAAATACATACCTAAGGTGGGTTGAAACAGTTACTATAAAACATTTGCTATAACAAACTGGTACCTTCAGATCCCCAGAAATATTAGCACCAGCAAGGATGCCAGTGGCAGCAGGAAAAAATATGCCAAACACACTGAAGAATGACTCTTGTTCTTCATAATGGGAGACTAAATTTGTAGTAAACACCTCTGTTGACAAAATGAAGATCATAGTCAATTAAATATAAAATTATAAGGCAAAGAAATACTAGGAGGGTAAACAGAGCTGTGTTGAAGATAACAATACTGTGCAGTTACAGAGAGAACTTTTTCTATATATTTTAAAATAAACTTCACTTCACTGTTCTCTAATGCAGTGGCTCCCAACTATTTTGACTTACAGTGCCCATTTTATAATGCATTTCTTTTGCGGAGCACATAAGGCCCAGTTAATAACTAAACTCTTAAATGATATTTACAATAGCGGGTATATTCCAAATGACCTTTTAAAATCCATATTTATAGCTCTGCCAAAGAAACCAGGCACTTTAAAATGTGAAGACCATCGCACAATAAGTCTTATGAGTCACATGACTAAGATTTTACTGAGAATAATTATGAGAAGAATAAGAAACAAAATTAAACCAGAAATCAGCGATGAACAATGTAGACAGAAGTAATGGTGGTATCAAAGAAACGAATCATTCCTAAATGTGTAATAAAAGTTGATGGTGTTATTTTAGGACAAGTACAGAAATTTAAGTATAACATCAGATGGAAGATGTATAACAGAGATAAGAAACAGAATAGGACAGGCAAAAACTGCATTTTATAAAATAAAACATCTTGTGCAATATATCCTTGTCATTGAGAGTTAGAAAAAGAATTCTTGCTTGCTACATACATCCAGTTTTTACATATCGCTGTGAATCCTGGACAATCGGTAGGCAGGCCAAACAATTTTTGGAGGCCTCAGAGATGTGGTTTTACAGAAGAATGCTTAGAGTACCTTGGACAGCCAAAAAGAGCAACCAAGAGGTTTTAAAAGAGGCGGGAGTCCGAAGACAACTTATCACAGACATCAGAAGGAGACAGTCATCATTTTTCGGCCATGTTATGAGAAGATGGAAAATAGAACATGTTGTGACCACTGGAAAGATCTGTGGGATAGAGGAAGACAACGAGAGAAGATGCTTGACAGTCTTATTGCATGGCATGGAGGAGTGTCGGCACACAAACTGATACATGCTGCAGGAGATCGCAGATTATGGAGAGGCATGATCGCCCACGCCAGTCGGCAAGGCACCTGACGATGATGATAAAGCCCAGTGTACCCTATGTCTTACAAGTTAATGATGTTTAGAAGTATTGTGTGTTATGGAGCAGAAGAGGAGAGGGTAGACAGTGAGGGAATTTAGAGTATAGAGATATCTATTTATTCTCATCTATCACCAATATACGTGATACTGACAAAACTTGGTCAAACATGAAAGTTCTTCCACAGTTCAGTAAATCATATTATTTGTATTGCAAAAGATTTTTACACCTTTGGTGAGAACAGCAATAAGGTCCATGAAATAATGAAAAAGTGTTTAATGGAACATATGTGGTTGAATTGCTCTGCACAGTTTTCTTATTTCAGGTTCAATCAACAACAATTGAAGGCAATATCTGGTTCTGCATCTAAGTGGATTCTGTTTTGTTTATTTATTCATTAAAAAAAATTTTGCTAATAGCTGTATAAGCAGAGAATCAAATTTTACAGAGACGTGTAGTTGAGAAAGGCAGCATTAGTAATTTTATTTTCTCAGTCAAGATTTTGAGTTCATCTTGTAAATGCAACCCAATCTCTGATAGACTTTGGTTTTGAAGCATGATGTTTTAGTTTTCTGTGAGATGTCAGATCCGGAAGGGATAATGAATAGGCTATAATACTTTCTGACATCTGCAGAGTGAGCCTCAGCTATACTGTTTTTTCTTAAGTGCAGCCTGCCATTTTGCCTAATTCTTTCAGTCCGAAGCAAAGCATAGTGTGTGAGTGACACTATCTCTTGATTGCCCTGGGTAGCAGAATGTGATCTCTTAAGTTTAATATTTAGTCAGAATATGGTTTTTTTAATGTATTTATTACTGTGCGTCTTGCCACTTGGAAAGCAGTGCATTTTTGTTTTTTCATTCTCGTTATTTCTTTACTTTTGCATCTTCTTTGAAACCTTCTGGTACTGATGAGCTAAGTGTCCAACAATAATTCTATGTACACAAAACAAACAAACAAAAAAGGTTGATACATCCAAAAGAAAAAGTTTACATTTACCTTTAGGTCCTAGCAACCCTTTAGACATTTGTTCTGAGCTGGGAGGGATGCACAGGCCAACGAAAAAATTCACAATTGCCAGAGTAAGAATTATCAAGAGAACCAACTGTGCCTAAAAAGAAGAAACCAAACATTACTGTGTACTGAAACCGAATATGTTTTTAAAAATAAATTAAAAAAAAAAAACTGACCCAAGTTTTTTTTTTTTTAAATACATTCAGTACTCACTAAAAATCATAAAGTAATACTCTTGAGCTGTTCAAAGATACTGTTTAAATATTTTTGTATGTATTTTTTTTCATGAACCTGTTTTCATCTAAGAACTTTTTCTTGAAGAACTGTGTTACTGACAAGCAAAGGAAAATAAATACTACCAAGACAGCCATACACTCATAATCTTCCTCATCATCATCATGTAGGAGGTCTTTCACAGACCACTGGTTTCACAATGAGCTACTGAAAAGCTTCTCAATGCCTTGGCATCCCAGTGTGGGTTTCAATGCTTAATTTTGGAGAATAAAGAATACACCTACTGCCCCTCTAACAAGCATGTCACAGAAGGCAACTAATGAGGGGTGTTTCCTTCACAGTCAAAGTGCATCTGCTTGACAGGCAATTAAACAACAGTCTGCATTTAAAAAAAAAAGCAAGATCAGTTTAACGTATGTATATGCAAAGTACAAGTTTTGGATCAAGACTAAATCTAGGGGTGAACAAACAACCATAACTTTCCGCCAGCGTTTACAACCAGTGAAGTTTAAGAAGAAGAAGAAGAAGAAGAAGAAGAAGAAAAAGAAAAAGAAGAAGAAGATATAAAGAACCAACTAACCAGTCAGCCATACTCACCCTTGACTCCCAGTCCATGCCTATCAAGGCAACTGCCAGTAGTACTGTGATAGTGATACTTCCAATAATACGGATGTCATTCAAGTCGTCAACCATCACCAGGTCGTAGCGCTATGGACACATTTTAGAAACAAAAATGTTTTAGTAAATTGAACTTCCCTTTAAAAACCTTGCTTATATCATGACATCTGTGGCTTAGGGGTAACAAATTCAGTTTTATCATTCCAACATACCAGGTTCAATTAAGCCGCACATGATTTGACATCAAACAGCTTTGTACTTTGACAAAAATATGAACACTGACCATTCAGTAGGCAAATGCAAACTATTAAATGTAAAATGGTCAAATAAAACCATGCACAGCCAACAAACACTAGGGTTGGTTTGCACAGCAATAGCATAAGTGTAGAATACACCAAGGTTGGTTTGCACAGCAACATCATAAGTGGAGAATACACCAGGGTTGGTTTGCACAGCAACATCATAAGTGGAGAATACACCAGGGTTGGTTTGCACAGCAACAGCATAAGTGTAGAATACACCAGGGTTGGTTTGCACAGCAACATCATAAGTGGAGAATACACCAGGGTTGGTTTGCACAGCAACATCATAAGTGGAGAATACACCAGGGTTGGTTTGCACAGCAACAGCATAAGTGTAGAATACACCAGGGTTGGTTTGCACAGCAACATCATAAGTGGAGAATACACCAGGGTTGGTTTGCACAGCAACATCATAAGTGGAGAATACACCAGGGTTGGTTTGCACAGCAACAGCATAAGTGTAGAATACACCAAGGTTGGTTTGCACAGCAACATCATAAGTGGAGAATACACCAGGGTTGGTTTGCACAGCAACATCATAAGTGGAGAATACACCAGGGTTGGTTTGCACAGCAACAGCATAAGTGTAGAATACACCAGGGTTGGTTTGCACAGCAACAGCATAAGTGTAGAAAACACCAGGGTTGGTTTGCACAGCAACAGCATAAGTGTAGAAAACACCAGGGTTGGTTTGCACAGCAACAGCATAAGTGTAGAAAACACCAGGGTTGGTTTGCACAGCAAAAGCATAAGTGTAGAAAACACCAGGGTTGGTTTGCACAGCAACAGCATAAGTGTAGAAAACACTAGGGTTGGTTTGCACAGCAACAGCATAAGTGTAGAAAACACCAGGGTTGGTTTGCACAGCAACAGCATAAGTGTAGAAAACACCAGGGTTGGTTTGCACAGCAACAGCATAAGTGTAGAAAACACTAGGGTTGGTTTGCACAGCAACAGCATAAGTGTAGAAAACACCAGGGTTGGTTTGCACAGCAACAGCATAAGTGTAGAAAACACCAGGGTTGGTTTGCACAGCAACAGCATAAGTGTAGAAAACACCAGGGTTGGTTTGCACAGCAACAGCATAAGTGTAGAAAACACCAGGGTTGGTTTGCACAGCAACAGCATAAGTGTAGAAAAACACCAGGGTTGGGTTTGAACAGCAACAGCATAAGTGTAGAAAACACCAGGGTTGGTTTGCACAGCAACAGCATAAGTGTAGAAAACACCAGGGTTGGTTTGCACAGCAACAGCATAAGTGTAGAAAACACCAGGGTTGGTTTGCACAATGACAACATAAGTGTAGAATACACCAGTATTTGAATCTGTTGATTCAACAATAGGGGCCTGAACCCACAATCCGCAGGTGAGCATCTAGTTAAGTAAAATTAGACATACTTTGGGTGTAACGTGGTAGATCTTCACACATTCTAGTTAAGTGCACATGGGTTGGGTTGAGCAAATTTGTTTCTTATCACACTTCCTGCTTAAACAATTTCCAGAACATTCTGAAAATTATCCTGTAGTCATTTTTACTTAGAAGGTTTGAACCCGTACTGGCTAACGACTGCACTCCAGCCCCTGTTTTGACTAGACAGTACAGAAACAATTATACTGCCATGACACCACTAGGGTTCTGAAGGAGTCTAAAATGTTTGAAAGCAAATGTACACCACACTATTAGAAGACAAGGTTATGCACGCTAGTGATGCCAATGATAGGAAGGCTTCTGGAATTTGGGGCTTAGGCACCATAAGCCTCCACTACTCCCCCACCACCCAACCAACAGAAGTTGTCTTTTAAGTTAGTGTTTATACATATCATAATATTTCAAATATATTAGTATACTTATATTTTCCATTCAACACATTATTATTTTTTATTAATTATTCACGTAAGCATGGCTTAGGTCCCTTTAGCTCCCACTCCCAAAAGTTGTTAAGGAAACTAAGTGCCTCTCTCACCTCCCACTCCCAGTTTTCTAAATATGTCGACCCTCCTCACCTCCCAGTTTTCTATGTGTCGATCCCCTCCTCCCATTTCGCGGATGATAGCACTGACAAAGATGGCAACAGTTTATACATGTAGTAGAACAATGAAACAATCAAAACTGCTGATGGAGGTTTCACCTTGAGAATATCCCTGACTGTCTCAGCGAAGCCCACCACATACATGGCCACGGCTACAGTGTTGGCAACAGAAAATATCACACCAATGGCACCGCCAAACTCTGGGCCTAGACTTCTGGATATCATATAGTAGGCACCACCTAGAAGAGAGAATACAAACTTATGTATTGATAATTGTTCTAGATGTAACAGAGACACAAAAGTAAAGTCACCACCTAGAAGAGAGAATACAAACTCATGCACTGATAATTGTTCTAGATGTAACACAGATACAAAAATAAAGTCACCACCTATAAGAGAGAATACAAACTCATGCATTGATACTTGTTCTAGATGTAACAGAGACACAAAAGTAAAGTCACCACCTAGAAGAGAGAATACAAACTTATGTATTGATACTTGTTCTAGGTGTAACACAGACACCAAAGTAAAGTCACCACCTAGAAGAGAGAATACAAACTCATGCATTGATACTTGTTCTAGATGTAACACAGACAGACACACATAATAAGATAACAGATACATTTACTTATTTAGACAGTAATTTTAGTAGTCATGGAATTACAATGAAAGAAATTGTGACACACACTGGCAAGGCACCTGTAGCTTTCAAACCCCTGAATCAAATATAGAACTCAAGACAATTTAGTTTTAAAAAAAAAGTTTTTTATTTTCAATTTTAATTCTATTTGAATTTTAGCATTTGCCAGTAAAAACTGGAGAACCACAAAAAACATGGAACGAAGGTGCATTTGAACACAAATGCATGAGGAAAATGTTGAGCATAAAATGGGATGACATCAAGAGGGATGGAGATATAAGAAAAATGTTAAGTTGTAAGATAGGTAAGATGGCGCTATTCATGAGAAATGAGCACAGAATCACCAATCAGGTACTAAATTGTGCAATAAAGGGACTGAAGAAAAGAGGAAGTCTAAAAGTAAAAAAAAAAAAAAGGAAAAGGTTTTTTTTCCACGCTTTTAGGCATATTGGAAATACAGGGCTAGACCTATTTTTTTAATAAACCAATCAGCACTTGGTGGGCGATGTGGTGAGCATCACGCCAGTCGCCTATACTTCCTTGGACTGTACCTGGTATCTCTTAAGGCTGGTTTAAAAAAAAAAAAAGTCCGGCTCCGTCAGGATGCGAACCCGCGACCTTCCGATCCGCGGGCGTCTAGTCGCCAAGGCTACGGCAAAGGAAGTCTGAACGAGTGCACTAAACGAATGCTGAGACAGCCCAAAGATACTGGACTGGGTTCGATCCATTATATCAAAAGATTGCATATGATAGAACGGAACAGCGGAACAATGTAAAATATACTGACATAACAGCGGAACAATGTAACATATACTGACATAACAACGGAACAGTGTAACATATACTGACATAACAGCGTAACAATGTAACATATACTGACTTAACAGCACAATAACGATTGTGATCATATTTGTTCTCAAACATAAGATCTAGACTGACTTGTTTCCTCTCTCCCAGCTGCTACCCAAAAGGTGTGATACCCCAGCAGACCAGGTGTCAATCCAGTATGAGAAATCCTAGATGTCCCGTTTATCCTCCTAAGATGCCATAGTCATGTGACCCTAATGGTTACACAAGATACTAATCTGGTGTACCCCCCCCCCCCCCTATACACACACACACACACACCTTGCCCACCCTTTTGTATTTAATGTTGTAAGTTCTCTTAAAGTTAGTTGCGTATCCTTTACATGACGTTGCAGAACCAACCCCAGCATTTATCCGCTGTTGGTTTTTTTCTAGGCAAAAATTTACGTTCAGTAGTTTGCCATTGCTTTCTAAACGGCCAGCTCTCAGTATCACTGTCGAAACCAGCACAGGACAAATCGTCTGCAGCAAGAACCGAACTGGGCACCCGGCATTACGAAGCGCGTTCGCAACGCCTAAGCCACAGATTAATGTTGTAAATATCGGGTATAATGTTAGCAAAAGACGGCTTGGCATTTTAATGACCCCAGAATCAAATAACGGAAGTAAAACCAACAAGGACCCCCCCCCTCTCCCCTCCCCCGCGTTGTTCGTTTCAGTTTGCAGTGTAGTAACCGATCCGATCTTTGGTTCTTTATATCCATAAATGCCCTGTCTCCCGCAGCAAATGACGTAAGGTGTAGATGCTAACTGTTCCCGTAGCACACTGATTATACACACGCCGATCTCCTCCTCTCACCCGTCCCTCCTTGCTGGATCCACACTTTAATCCTCGTTCACACATTCTTGACCATGTTTTTTCATCTAATCTCATGTCTTCTGCCAAAAGTCGTTCATATATGGTCTTCAGAATATCTCCCTTGTCCAGTAGGAGTGTTTCTGTAGTTTTTGCTTTTGTAGTCAAAAAATCCGCTTTTTCATTCCCTCGCACTCCTGCATGCCCCGGACAGTCCTAGTGAGTAATTAGAAATCGAATCTATTAATTCACAGGTCGTTTCTTTTAAAAAACACCGCATTTCATTCTGGTCTCTGGGTAGTAAGATCAGACGCCCGTGTGCATTCTTGCGCACGTAAAAAAAAAATCCCTTGGCAGTAGGAAATCGAAAAGAGTAGCCTAAAGGCGGCGGAACAATGCAACGAATGGCAGGGAAATATATATATTAATTTTGTGGACTTTGAGAAAGCTTTTGACAGCGTCCATAGAGACGGTCTGTGGAAAATTTTACGACATTATGGAATTCCAGAAAAAATAGTCAACATAATTGCTCTCTTCTATAAGGACTTTTCCTGCAGTATACAAAATTACAATAAATAAATCTTTCCTAGTAAAGACGGGTGTAAGACAGGGATGTGTTATATCTACTCTCCTCTTCAACCTTGTGATTGATTGGATACTAAAGAACACAGTAGATAGGACATTAGGAGGCATACGATGGACTCCATTCACCATGCTTGAGGACCTTGATTTTGCAGATGATATAGCACTCCTATCACATAAACATGAACATATACAAGAGAAAAGTAACAGACTAAACTGCACAGCAGAAATGGTGGGACTGAGAATAAATAGAAAGAAAACTAAGATCATGACAAACAGTCCAAACCAACAACCAGTGACCATAAGTAACCAATCACTTGAAAATGTAGAACATTTCACATATCTTGGCAGTGTGGTGACCCTACTGGGAGGGACAGAGGAAGACATACAGTCTGAACAAAGCTAGAGCTGCTTTTGGAAGGATGAGGCAAATCTGGAAATCCAACAAATACTGCAGAGGAACGAAACTTGGACTCTACAAGAGCATCATTTTGCCAGTTCTTCTTTATGGAGCGGAATGCTGGAGATTGACCAAAAACGATGCACACAAGCTGTCCACCTTCCACCATACATGTCTATGTAGAATTATCAAAATTTTCTGGCCAGATACAATCTCAAACACAAAACTACTTCAAGCCACAAACCAAGAAACTTTAGATAGTATGTTTACCAAGAAAAGATGGAAATGGCTTGGCCACGTTATGAGAATGACTTCTGATATACCTGCCAAAACAGCTCTCACATGGACACCAGAGCGAAAGAGAAAACAGGGGCGCCCAAAAACAACATGGAGACGAACGATGGAAAGTGACCTGAGTGCGGCATCTTTGACATGGAAAACTGCACTGAAGATTGCACAGGACAGGAAAGCATGGAAAGTCCTCTCTGAAGCCTCATGTGCCACTAGGCATAACGAGAACTGATGATGAAAGGCGGCGGTGCCGGGGCAAAATCCAGAGTTTCAAATCTACCTAAAGTATTTCAGGATCCTCGCCGGCGCAACGGAATTCGTGCACTGCACTTGAGTTCGAAGTAGAACGGAGTACTTATGGGTTACACAAGTGTGCCATGATGTGGATTCGTCCAATAAACATTAACACAATAAACATTATAGAAGCTTCAAAACCCGTAGAGTGTGAAGATTTGTCTTCTGCTGTTAAGTTAGATATAACCCATTTACTGTGTGTCTGAGCATACGCCTGGACAAGGTTATTCTTTACGATTTTCTGTTCGCTTGAAAAATTGAGAAAGTGCAATATTTGTCTTTCAGCAGAATTCAGCTGGACATTTTTTTATAATAAACCTGTCTCGCCTCTTCAATCGACACTTCCTGGTCCAGACACCAATGACGCAATCTGTCAGCGGACCGCCATATGGAGATGAGGTAGGGTCACGGTCAGACTGATTAACCGATATTGACGCAAGTAGTCAAAAGCTATCATTCGCTGCCTGCATTAGTCTCTTCTGGTGCGTTTTCAATCCTTTGATTCTCTGCCGGATAAAAACTAAAAGACGTAGTTGCATTATTGACAAAGGTTATATTCCAAGGTAGACGAGCAGTGTTTCAAAGTGCTTAGTTGTCTGTATTCACTGCAGCCGCATAATACTGACTGAAATTTTAACAATAAGGTCGGATTAAAAAACAAATTAAAAAAAAACAACCCGTGTGGGTTCCGGGGCCCCATTGTGGGGGAAAACAAGAATAGACCCACTGCCTCCCCAAAAGCATGTCGTAAGAGTCGACTAATTGGGGAGCTTCCCTTGAAGTCGGAGTGCATCTGCCGGAGAGGCAAGGAACCAACAGTCTGTATTCAAGAGAATGAGATCTGTAAAACTGATGCACACGCAACACTCAGGATCTGGAGCAGGACTGCAGTTCAGTAGTGGACGAGCAAACAGAACTTTCCGCCAGAGTGTACAGCTGGTGAACGCGAAGAAGAAGAAGAAGATAAAAAAAAAAGAAAGAGACACTTCATTATGAATAAACTATACAGCACAGCAGTTATTTACGCATAATTATATATTTCCAGTGTGGGGCCCAGGGCCCCCTTTTTAAAATGAAAAAAGGAGAGACCCACTGATTTCCCCCCCCCCTCCCACACACACACACACACACATACGCATGTCGAAAAGATCGACTAATTATGTGTTTGTTTCTTTCTCCAAGTTGCAGAGCATCTGCCTGAGAGGCGAGGAACCAACAGTCTGCTTACAGATAAGTTAGATCTGCAAAACGGATGACTGTTGGTTCATGGCATCTCAGGCAGATAACCCTGAATTCGAAGGATCAGTCGCCTTTGACGACACGCATAAAACTATTGCCTGGAAAGACGGGAAAATGCCAAACAACGACA